GAGGACTGCACTGTATCTGTCTGTGTAAAACACCCCTTAGCTTTACGTCACTTTTTCCCACAACTGAACCTCGCATCCTCACCTGTGACACACAGACAGTGTCTCATCCTCACCTGTGACACACACACGGTGTCTCAGTGTCTCACCACATCTCACACACACACATAGTAGCGTCTTAACAAACTTTCCCTCTCTGGGGTCTAATTTAATAAATAATGCAAGAGTGTTTTGCTGAAGCAAATGGAGTAAGAGATCTTAGAGTTGAAGCAGGTGTTTGACCTTCTCTATTCACTGATGATTTCATTCAATTTGCATAGGTAATATCACAATGCTAAAGGTTAAAAGATAATTCTGCTTCATAAAGGTAACTGGGTCAGGGCAATGAGAAGGGTGTTTATGCATTTAATCGATCACTTACCCAGATGATCAAAACCTCGATACATGATGCAGGAATCTGTGGCATCAATGGCTTCTATCTGGTACCGTCCCAACGGCCCAGTCGGGAGTCCATTGTAGTCGTGCTGCCATCGGTCGAAACCACGGAAACGAACTTTTGCACCGCACCTCAGGAGCCACTCGGCAGCAGCTCGATCAGGACCCACCGCTTTAATACGCTCATAATCAACTCTATATTGAAAAACACAACAGTTACGGATCACTGCATCTGGGAAGCTGACATGACATTTCAAGCAGTGACTTCCATGCGCTGCAGTGTGACAGGCCATCTAAAACCCGTGATAGATCAATTAAATGTCTGCTTTTGTAGCCATTTTTAATGGATAGTGCACATTTTCAGTTTTGTTTAAACTACCATTCAAATGTTTGGGGACAATTTTTTTCTTTTTTTTAAAGAAGTCTCTTATGCTCACCAGGGCTGCATTTATTTGATCAAAAATACAGGAACAACAGTAATACTGTGAAATATTATTACAGTTTAAGATGAACTATTTTCTATTTTAATATTATTTCAAAATGTACTCTTTTTGCATGATCATCCAGTCTTCAGTGTCACATGATCCTTCAGAAATCATTCTAATACGCTGATTTGATGCTAAAGAAACATTTCTTATTATTATCAATGTTGACAACAGTTGGTCTGCTTAATATTGTTGTGGAAACTGAAACATTTTTTAGGATTATTTGATGAATAGAAAGTTCAAATCAACAGCATTTATTTGAACCAGAAAACTATTTATAACATTAACATCACTTACGTACCATTGGATCCTCTGCAGTGAATGGGTGCCGTCAGAATGAGAGTCCAAACAGCTGATAAAAGTATAATACATGCAGCTTTTGCTTCACAAGACTTATTTACGGACAAATTAATTGCTGGCCTGGAGTTGCTTGGATTACTTGTGGATTACTGATGTTTTTATCAGCTGTATGGACACTCATTCTGATGGCACCCATTCACTGGAGAGGATCCATAGGTGAGCAAGTGATGTAATGCTAAATTTCTTCTAACTGTTAAGAAAATAAAAATCTACATCTTGGATGGCCTGAGGATGAGTTCATTTTTGGGTGAACTACCCCTTTAACTGCTTGTGGGAAACGCAACCCTGGCTGACTAATTCTCCAATAGTTGGTCATTTGAGATTATCAACATCATCCAATTGCCATGCCCATATGATATACATAACAAAATTATGGGCAATACTGAGAGCCCAACTGAAATTAAAGATGCTGTTGTCATACCTGAGGTGATGAAGAGCAATGATTCCTTTATCTGTCACGTTGCCACAGGAAACTACTGTCATGTTTTTCAAACTGTCCTGCAGCGTCTTTATTTGACTCAAATGCTCCAGACAGGCATCTTCTATATAAATACACTTATTGAACCTGATTTCTTCTACGTGCTCGAGACCCTCTAAACAAAAAAACAAATGCGTGTTAGTACTAACAATTCTTTAGATGCCTTTGGTAAATATTAATTAATAAATATATAGTCCAAATGGTCAGCAACCATTTTGACTTTTTTAATTCTTTAAAAAAATCTTACATTTGATTTATTTTTAAAACAAATAAATATGTTGTATATATATATAATTTATTTATATATAAATTAATACATTCAAAAGTTTGAGGTCAGTAGATTTTTTAAAAGAAATACATTTTTAAGTAGAGATAAATGCATTAAATTGATCTGTTGTGCTAATTAATATTTTTGTGGAAACTGATTTTTCTTTGATGAATAGAAAGTTCAAAGAACAGTATTTATAAAAATATATTTTTTAACATTATTAATGTCTTTATTAACTGTCACTTTCAATCAGTTACCTTATGTAGCAGAATTTCAGTGTCAATGTCATTGTGTTTTATTAAATATTTGTATTCATTATCATTTCTGTCTTCTGCGTCCACAGAAATCCTAAATAAACAACAAATGCAAGGTTGCCATCCTCTGATAATCATTTGGTCGGCATATGACTAGGTGAAATGGGCAAGTTGAAGTATGCTGGTGCTGTCATATTAAGTGTAGAAATGTCAAATGTAGTGTACTGTATAGGAAACCTGGATGTGTGAAAAGACAGTGAGTGTGAGTGAAAAAAAGAGAGGACTGCACTGTATCTGTCTGTGTAAAACACCCCTTAGCTTTACGTCACTTTTTCCCACAACTGAACCTCGCATCCTCACCTGTGACACACAGACAGTGTCTCATCCTCACCTGTGACACACACACGGTGTCTCAGTGTCTCACCACATCTCACACACACACATAGTAGCGTCTTAACAAACTTTCCCTCTCTGGGGTCTAATTTAATAAATAATGCAAGAGTGTTTTGCTGAAGCAAATGGAGTAAGAGATCTTAGAGTTGAAGCAGGTGTTTGACCTTCTCTATTCACTGATGATTTCATTCAATTTGCATAGGTAATATCACAATGCTAAAGGTTAAAAGATAATTCTGCTTCATAAAGGTAACTGGGTCAGGGCAATGAGAAGGGTGTTTATGCATTTAATCGATCACTTACCCAGATGATCAAAACCTCGATACATGATGCAGGAATCTGTGGCATCAATGGCTTCTATCTGGTACCGTCCCAACGGCCCAGTCGGGAGTCCATTGTAGTCGTGCTGCCATCGGTCGAAACCACGGAAACGAACTTTTGCACCGCACCTCAGGAGCCACTCGGCAGCAGCTCGATCAGGACCCACCGCTTTAATACGCTCATAATCAACTCTATATTGAAAAACACAACAGTTACGGATCACTGCATCTGGGAAGCTGACATGACATTTCAAGCAGTGACTTCCATGCGCTGCAGTGTGACAGGCCATCTAAAACCCGTGATAGATCAATTAAATGTCTGCTTTTGTAGCCATTTTTAATGGATAGTGCACATTTTCAGTTTTGTTTAAACTACCATTCAAATGTTTGGGGACAATTTTTTTCTTTTTTTTAAAGAAGTCTCTTATGCTCACCAGGGCTGCATTTATTTGATCAAAAATACAGGAACAACAGTAATACTGTGAAATATTATTACAGTTTAAGATGAACTATTTTCTATTTTAATATTATTTCAAAATGTACTCTTTTTGCATGATCATCCAGTCTTCAGTGTCACATGATCCTTCAGAAATCATTCTAATACGCTGATTTGATGCTAAAGAAACATTTCTTATTATTATCAATGTTGACAACAGTTGGTCTGCTTAATATTGTTGTGGAAACTGAAACATTTTTTAGGATTATTTGATGAATAGAAAGTTCAAATCAACAGCATTTATTTGAACCAGAAAACTATTTATAACATTATAAATCAACATTATAACATGACAACATTATAAATGTCTTTACTGTCATTTTTGCTTAATACCAGTATTTGTGTTTTTCAAATAAATACAAATCAAATCTCACTGACCCCAAACCTTTGAACGGCACTGTATATCTTATTTGTTGTGACTGAACTACACTAAATGTATAGCATCCAGTAGCAACACAGCTTTTTGCCATCAGTATTTGATAAATGAAAAACATATTTGTTGACCACTATTAACTGTTTTGTACAGCAATGTTCAACATGGAACTTTTAAAATTAATTTGTCACACTTCAGGACTGTTCAAGTGTAATGCAGAAACTAAAAAGAAATGATGACCAGTAAAAGCACGTAAAACATACACTAGATGCTATTATTTTAAAGCTCAGACTATAAATAAGAGCTGTTGTTGTGAATTAGTGGACTTAGATTCGTCTCTGTAGGGATTCCTCACTCTATGGAACAGACTAATCACTAGACATTAGTCGCTTTATATTTCTGGCTCTCACACTCAACATTTTGGTTGTTGTAATTGGCCTCAGGTGCGTTACAGTCTGCTGTGCATTGGGAAAGGAAGTAAATTATGACATTAGAGAAATATTAATGTAGTTACATAACTAAATATCCAAGACTTACTTGTTGAAAACAGCATTGAGCCACCCCCAGAACTCACGACTGCCCCCTGACGGCTGCTTATGTGCGGATAAAATCCTCCGCGCTGACCAGGTGAACAATCTCATGTCTATATGGCTGAGATAAACAGAGAGAAAGAGTCGAGATGTCAAAGCACGAAAACACATAGTTTAATGACACTTTCTAATAGCAGACTGATCCGTGTACGCTGTGATCGTGACATTGAATATAGAGGACAACGTAATTTATCAAACCTCTAAACGTCGTAAAGCTCAGAGAGAATATCATTAACACACATACCATACATAGAACCTTGACAAAATAAAATAGTGTAAAACCTGCTAAACTGACGCTGCGGTTCGGGTCTGTGCTGTTCTGTATATGCGCGGAGTGTTTACATCCTGCGTCCTCCATGCGCGCTTGCGGATCTTCCCCCCGTTACGCCACTACGTCTCGCGCTCTCATTGGTCAGTGAGTGTACGTCGGGGGCGGGGCTACGAAGGACAGCTTCAGAAGAAGATTCATTTACCTGAGATTAAACCATACCGAGTCAGCGACAAGCACTATGATTACACGGTTTTAATAAGTATGTTAGGAAAAGTGAAAACGTAATTTGTGGAATAATGATACGAACTTTCGGTACAGGATCTGTGCGCGCGCGCTTACTGTCACAGGGATCAAAGTATGCAACGTGCAGAGCTGCACACCACAGCGGGTGAGAATAACAACAGCACTCGAGTACTTAAAACATCAGTACAGAGTACTTAACCTGACAGAAGGTGTTCCGACTGTAGTGTTACACTAAGTACCCTACTTAAAAGTCCTTCAGCTATAGTATCACAATTAGGATTGTGACTGTACAGGGATATTGTGTCAGTGCAACCAATCACACTATGCACCGATAAAGGGATAATTCACAAAAAATATTCAATTCTGTCATTATTTACTCACCCTCATGTCGTTCCAAACCTGTTTGACTATTTCTTGTGTGGAGCATAACATATTTTGAAGAATGTTGACTTCCACTGTATGGAGAAAAAAAGTTAGAGACAGTTATCAATGTCTTAATTTCTGTTCCACAGAGAATGGAAAGTCAAACAGGTTTAAAATGGCACCAAATTAAAAATAAAACACTACAAACTAAAATCAGACATTTTAAGTGCTACAAGTGAATTTAGGCATCACAGCATAATAATGAATAGTATTATTTTATACTAGAGATTTATACTGCACTTTAAGAGAGTGTTAGATGAAGGCAAATGTTATCTAAATGTACTGTATAAATAGGGGACATAATTATGCACGGTTAAATATCCAATATCGGCTGATTTTATACCGTTATAATGTGTAGCTCATTCGATATGGCCATTATTGGTGGAGGGATTGTTGGACTGGCCTCTTCCAGAGAGCTGATCCTCAGGCACCCAAACCTCACCTTTACCCTGTTGGAGAAAGAAAAGGAACTTGGTAAGTGTGTGTGTGTTCTTGATACTTCGTCATATCCGCCTTGATTTCTTATTCATTTCTTTTGTGTATTCCTTCCCACAGCTCTCCATCAGACAGGTCATAACAGTGGTGTGATCCACTCTGGGATTTACTACACGCCGGGCTCTCTGAAGGCTCAGCTTTGTGTTCGTGGAGCCACGCTGACATATCAGTACTGCCAGAAGAAAGGTGTGCCTTATAAGAGATGTGGCAAGGTGAGAACAAACATAGGCCCCCTTAATACCACAGATACCAAAGAGCATTGACTCTATAGTATCCAGTGTGTATGTGTGTGACTTCAGCTTATTGTAGCTGTGGAGAGAGAGGAGATTCCCCGACTGAAAGCTCTATATGAGCGCGGTCAGATGAACAACGTACAAGATCTCCGGCTGATTGATGCCAAGGCCATCCGAGAGAAAGAGCCGTACTGCAGGGTGAGTGACATCTGTTTGTGTGTTAATGAAAAATAGGGTTCATATTTTCCACTCTTGTACCATCCACTGGTTTGATCAGTAACCAGGAGATTGCAAAAGTGCTGTCATCTGGCTTTTACCTGATTCAGGTGACCTTAGGCCTGCCGTTTCAAACACTGAACAATTAACCTATTTATGACTATCATGTATGTATTTGTATTTTGTATAACGTGTTTTAACCTCAGTGGTTATGTCAGTTTATGTTAAGCTGGCCCTCACATACACTACAGTTCAAAAGTTTGGGGTCGGAAGGATTTTTTAAATGTTTTTGAAAGAAGATGTCAAAATGCTGCGTTTATTTTATTAAAAATACAGGAACAATTTTAATATTGTGAAATATTTTTAGAATTTAAAACAACGGTTTTCTATTTTAATATGTTTTAAAATGTAATTTATTCCCGTGATGGCAAAGTTTAATTTTCAGCATCATTACTCCAGTCTTCAGTGTCACATGATCCTTCAGAAATCATTCTAATGTGATGATTTGGTGCTCAAAAAACATTTCTTATTATCATCGATATTGAAAACACTTGTTCTGATTAATATTTTAGTGAGAACCTTGATACAGTTTTTTCATTCTTTGATGAATAGAAAGTTCAAAAGAACAGAATTAGATATAGAAACTTTTTGTAATATTACAAATGTCTTATAATATTACAAAATTATACATTTGTTTTAAAAAAGCCAATTTAGACAGGAAGAGATCATCCGAACATCATAACATGCAACTAATAACTGTTTGTTTTGTTTATAGATAATATTTTGTTAAATATGTAATACTACAACAGACTATAGTGTGATTTTCAGTAATCAGAATTTCTGTCCAAAATTAATATAAACAAATAGTTTCCCAGTTTATATTAGAAAATGAAGCAGAATTTCAGCTTTTTACTGGTGCAACCCTAAAGTCCCGGAAGTGCCAGCCAATCAGATCTGATGGGAACTGCTGATTTCAGCCAACCTGTGCCATTTTTGCTTGCAAATATACATCGAACAGTCAGAGAATGGACTGTACATGTAATAATGAATGGTATTTTTTGTTTCTCCATAGGGCATCATGGCATTGGACTCTCCAAACACAGGGATTGTTGACTGGCAGTTAGTAGCTCTGACCTACGGTAAGGACTTCCAGGAAGTGGGTGGCACTGTGATAACTGACTTTGAAGCATCTGACATTAAGGTGGCAGCAGAAAGCCCAGCTGGGAGTGCTGAAGGTGTGTCACGTGACCTGCTCAAAGTCTCAGACCTCTTTATTTTCTTTAATATCAATGTATTCATCTCTTCATGTGTGTTTAGGCCTGAAATATCCCATCATCATCAAAAGCTCACAGGTGAGAAACTGATGTGTATGAATCATGTTTTTATGATCTCTTGGGTTGGTGTCTTAGTATGGCTGTGTTTGTGTGCAGGGGAAGGAGGTGAGGTGTAGGTTTGTGTTGACGTGTGGAGGCCTTTACTCTGATCGGTTGTCTGAGATATCTGGCTGTAGTTCAGAGCCCCGTATTGTTCCCTTCAGAGGAGATTACCTGGTGCTCAAGCCAGAGAAAAATTACCTGGTCAGGGGCAACATCTATCCTGTGAGTAGAAACACCCCACACAGACACATTATGCTCAGATATATGAGAACGTGTGTTTATGGACTCTGTTTGTATGCTGAGGTGCCAAACCCACGGTTCCCATTTCTTGGATTCCATTTCACCCCTCGTATGGACGGTAGCGTCTGGCTGGGCCCAAACGCTGTGTTGGCTTTTAAACGGGAGGGATATAAACTCTTTGACTTCGACACACAAGACTTCATTAATGCGGTCTCCTACAGGTACAATGAAATACACTTTGACATCTATAAGTTGAAAAGTTTGGGGTCAGTAAATTAAATTGATCAGAAGTGACAGTAAAAATATTTACAAAAGATTTATGTGTCAAATAAATGCTGTTCTTTTGAACTTTCCATTCATAAAAGAATCTTGGAAAGAAATATTAAGCTGCAACTGTTTTCAACATTGATAATGATAATAATAAAAAAAGTTTCTTAAGCAGATCAGGATATTAGAATGATTTCTGAAAGATCATGTGATGCTGAAGACTGGAGCAATGGCTGCTTAAAATTCAGCTTTGCCATCACAGGAATAAATTGTATTTTAAAATATATTAAAATAGAAAATGATTATTTTAAATTGTAATATTATTTCACAATATTACTATTTTTACTGTATTTTTGCTCAAATAAATGCACAAGCATAAAAAATTCTAATGAAAAAATCTTACAGACCTTACTTTTTATGGTAGTGTACACTCATATTAACATTCTCATGCATAGAGTGCACTTAAAGAAATATTCAGGGTTTAATTAAGCTCAGTCAACAGCACCTGTGGCATAATATTGATTACTACAAAAATGAATTTCACCTAGTTTTCTTTAAAAAAAATCTAGGTTACAGTGAGATACTTACAATGGAAGTGAATGGGGTCAATCATTAAATGCTAAAATACTCAATAGTATAGCCACCTGACTAAATAATGTGTGTTAACATGCTTTTAGTGTAAAAAAATTACTTACTAACTTTACATAAAATTTATATCCAATTTTACAACTTTGTTACCATGACAACATAATGCCTAAAACTCTAAAACGACCATAAAAATGACAATGTTACAGCTCAAATAATATGCTTTATTAGACAAATTAATGTTTTTATAAATGGTTTTAAAGTAAATTGGTACCATTTACTTCCTTTGTAAGTGCTTCGTCGTTACCTAAATTATTGTTCTTTTTTTTTTATAAAACAAGGGATGAGTCGAAACATTACCCCAAAAATGATGTCTATTGAGCTTACTGAACCCAGAATATTTCTTTAAGTTCATAGTGGTGTTCATTCAAGACAGTTTCTTGAATTAAAAACCAGGCTCCTTGCTCATGTTCATAATGTATGTGTGTGTATGTAGGGGTCTGCAGAGGCTGGTAATGAAGAATATTGTTTATGGAATGGAGGAAATATACAGAGGTGTGTTTACCAGTGCTCAGGTATTTAAATTTCAAGACAAAATATATTTTAAAGCTTAACATAACTATAAAAGTGTATACACTTTATAGAAATGCCCCTTAATATTTTTTACTTTAATATTTTATTAATTTACATTACTCTTCAGTATTTTATTGATATGTGACCCTGGACCACAAAACCAGTCTTAAGTCGCTGGGGTATATTTGTAGCAATAGCCAAAAGTACATTATGGGTCAAAATTATTGATTTTTCTTTTATGCAAAAAATCATTAGGCTATTAAGTAAAGATCATGTTCCATGGAGACATTTTGTAAATTTCCTATTGTAAATATATTAAAACTTAATTTTTGTTTAGTAATATGCATTGCTAAGAACTTCATTTGGACAACTTTAAAGGCGATTTTCTCTTCTTTTTTTTTTTTGCACCCTCAGATTCCAGATTTTCAAATAGTTGTATCTTGGTCAAATATTGTCCTATCCTAACAAACCATACATCAATGTAAAGCTTATTTTCGAAAAATTGACCTTTATGACTGGTTTTGTTTGTCCAGGGTCACATATCATTACTTGTCTAGAAATCACACACCTCATATATCCAGGTTTTTCCTAGGCACCCTTGTTCCTCAAAAGAATTTGAGGTTGCCGTTTAGTTGTTGAGATTGAAACATCTTGATTTTTTGTTGTTTTAGCTTATTATAATGCTTGTTTTGTCTTATTTAAAAGGTTTGCTGTGGGCCCCGGCCACTTAGTTGAGATCCCCTTTTTTCTAGAGCATAAATTGCTTAAAAGTTCACTTCCAGAATGAAAATTCTGTCATCATTTCCTCACCCTCCACTTGTTCCAAACCTGTATGAGTTTCTGTTCATGCTGAACACAAAATATTATATTTTGAAAAATGTTATTATCTGAACAGTTGATGAGCACCATTGACTTCCATAGTAGGGGGGAAAATATCACTTTTTAACCTAAACCCACCCTACCCCTCACAGAAAACTTTCTGCATTTTTACAATAAAAAAAAAACTATTTTTATACCAGCTTTACAAATGAGGACGTCCCCAAATGGATGTTTTTGGCGATTTTGTCAGGTCTTGCTCACTTTTGGGTACAAATTTGTCGCCTAAATATGGTTAAGTAGGCACACACATACACTAATTTAGTTAGTTTCTTTTTATTTATGTTTGAGATTGAGGGATTCCAGGGCTTCCCTGCCAGAATAAATGACAAAATGTATTCCAGATCTCCCTTCCGTCTTGTTCTTCTCACTACTGCAAATAAAAATATCTCAGCACCATCAGGAGACTGTGGGAGCAGATGGTGTGTGTGAATGTTTCTGGTTGTGAGAGAAAGAAAAATTTAGGCTGCATCTGATGCAGAAAATGATTTATGCTTCAAAACAAACAAATCCTTAAAAATAAATGTGAAGTGAGTGACACACTGAGACAAATAAAGAGTTTTAATTATAAACAACATATTCACTGATCATTACTTAAAGGGAAAGCTCACCCTAATATTTAAATTAATTTACTCCATTTACTCATCCACATGTCATTCCAAACCTGTATGCCTTTCTTTCTTCTGTGGAGCATAAAAGAAGATACTTTGAAAAATGTCTCAGTGGTTATTTTACAATGGAGGTCAGTAGTAACCAAAACTGGTTACCAACTTTCTTCAAAATAAATAATGCATTCTGCAGAAGAAAGTAATAAAGGTTTGGAACTTTATGAGAGTGAATAAATAATATCAGAATTATCAATTAAGTCGCTGATCTGTTCCGTATAAGTTATATTACTCATCCAAATTTAAAGCTTCAGAATGTAAATATACGAAGCATTGCTTTTAAATCTCATCTTGAATGTTTTTCACTCTGGACATACACTCACTAGCGCTCACATCTATCATTTTGTCTGCCTGCTCTCCCATTCTCCACATCAATACTTTTCTGTCTGCTACTATCATCCCCCCCCATTCCTGGAGAAGACAGAGGGGTAGAGTGTGTGTTTGTATCTGCATGTGTGTATGTGTGTTGTGGGGTCCCAGTAGAGTAGCTCTTAGTGCCTAATGGAGGACGGCATGTAACCAGACACTAGAGCAGAGAGCACAAGCCATCTCTCATCTGTGTATTTGTGTGTGTGTGTGTATGTGCTTGCATGCATTTGCTTTGTTTTTGGTCAGTATTTCACAGTTGCACTGCAGAAGTGGATTAAACCTGTGTTCGAAGCTGTGCTCACCTTTAACCTTTCACCCATCATAACACAAATGCTATTTTTCATTTGATTTGAGACTGCTACTGTTTGCAGTCTCTCTCTGACTGGTTTTGCCACACTACCTGGTTCCCCCCCCCCCCCCCTTCATTTGTCCACCAAACTGAGAGCTGAGAAGGTGTGTGTGTGTGTCTGCATATCAGTGTGTGTATGTCAGATGATGTCATGTTGCCTTTGCAACAGTGTGTCTATCTATAAATCTGTGAGAGAGCTGTAATCGCAGACCAGATTTTTTTATAACTTTATTTTTATTGGGGGTTTTTTGTGTGCATTTGTCTTGGTGATACCATTCAAATGCATCCGTGATTCAGTGTTACGATGAAGTTATAACATTGCTATGTTTTTATATGTGCAGGTGCAGTTACAAGTGCATCCAAATCTGTCGGCTAAAGAAGACGCACTCCAGCACATTGAGGCGCTCATACTACAGCTCCTGAACAAGCTGTGTGTTACACAGCCCAGAACAATAGCTGATGTCGAGGTTAACATAAGTACACATCAGGGATGGGTGGTGTTATGGCATACTGTATGGTGTACTATGGGAGAAGTGTGTCAGCTGGCTGCAATTGTGCTATACAGATTTATATATTTATGCTAGGGATGTGCGATATTGATGATTTGATCGTGGACAATTAAAATATCTCCACTATCTGTTTTTAAAGAAATATTGTACTATTGTGCTACAGCGCACATTCTATCAGTTGCAGTTCTGGCACCTCCGTCTCGATATACTGTACAATGCGACGTAGATTCACATCAAATGTTAACTCAGTTGTAGAGTTACACTCACGGGACACTGCTCACAAATGTACATTATTTGAATGTGCTTTAAAGCCTTGCCAGTTAAACATTTAATTTGTGTGCTGTTCTGACATGAACACCTGAAGCGTGTACACATTAAAAAAGCCTGTCAAACAGCACCTGATAACTGGACCAAGTTATATTTTGCGTCTGATTGTGCTAATACTGTCAAAAATAAACTAGGTTTACATATAAACACAGTTGGTTATGTCTAAAGTGAACGTAAACAGTTGAGAGGAAAACGGCCTGTACATTAGATGCATGTCTTAAAGCGACAGTACTAAACCATAGATTGTAAAAAAAAGATGGACGATGCATCTCCTATTCCTTCCAGTATAGAAAAGTGAAGCCAAAGCTTCTCAGTATGGCTGCTGCCATCTTGAGTAAATGACGTCATTTGGAGCCCGAGTCTGCGCAGTAGAGATTCGTTTGGAGCCAGAGTCTGCGCAGTAGTGTCGTGAGGTGGAGCCGCGGTATCAAACTCCCGCAGACCCAATCAACCATAACGACACGCCCCATTTTTATAGCATCAAATTACTAGCTAAAATCAAACTTATCACAAAACGAACAATTGAACATGTATCAGCGTGATAACAACTACCTTAAATGACCATAACCATCTTTCGGAAAATTGTATTGGAAGCGTAATAAGGCACACCCTTACTAAACATGCTGCCGATTGTCATTTAAAGGGATAGTTCACCCAAAAATAAAATTTCTGTCATTATTTACTCACTCACATGTTGTCCCAAAGCTGTATTAATTAGATTATGTGGGTAAGAATGTGGGTAACCAAACAGTTGCTGGTCCCCATTGACTTTGATAGTAGCAAAAAAAATACTATGGAAGTCACTTGGGACAAGCAACTGTTTGGTTACCAACGTTCTTCAAAATAACTTATGTTCAACAGAAGAAAGAAACTCATTCAGGTTTAAAACAACTTGAGAGTGATGTATATTGATGTATATAGTGTTTTATTTTTATATTTATATTTGTTAATTCAGTTTCTTGAATGCTACTGCTAAATACACCTACTGTACCTGAAAAATAAAGCTCTGTTTGTTTTATTTGTATAAAATCTCTTGTATAAAAATGCAAAATCTCTTACATTTTTATAAATCATGTATTTTTTATGAATATAGTAAAATCAAGAGGTAGCCATGACCCTGACTACTACCTGACATAGTTAAACACAAATGCATGCATACAGTCTGGCAGTATGTGTTTGCCTGATCAGTTTTGTCACCTTTGGCTTGATGTGTAATCACAGGATCGTGTCCAGAAGACGTTCCCGAATCCTATCGATAAATGGGCCATGTCAGACGCTCAGTCTGCGATAGAGAAGCGCAAGCGAAGGAACCCGCTGCTGCTGCCAGTTGATAAGATACATCCACTACTGAAGGTGCGAAAACTTCAAACACATCGTCAATATTCACATACTGCTAGCTAGCACACAGAGTAACATGCATCTGTTTTTTTATGTGTGCAGGAGGTTCTGGGTTATAAAATCGACTATCATGTGTGTCTGTATATTGTTGCTGTGCTGGAGTACATCTCAGCCGACATCCTCAAGCTGGCTGGAAACTACGTGAGCAACATTCGACATTACGAGATCAGCCAGCAAGACATCACTGTCTCCATGTGTGCTGACAAGGTCAGAAGTGTGTGTGAGTGTGTCTGTGTGTTTAAAAAGTTACTGATTCGTTATGTCTGCATAAACAGTTTTGTTTCTTGAAAGGATGTTACGAGTGAAGTTATTGAAGAAATTAAACAGTGATGATACACATTTAATTATGACAGTTATTACAACTGTTTCTTTCTAATGTGTCTGAAACATGATGGAGAAAGACCTTCTTAATCCCTAATTAAATTATAAATTAAGTCAAGATGGGCAGTTAATTAAGAAATGGTAATTAAGTAATTATAATTCTCTGTTACACTAAATTTTATTTAAGTTAAATCAAATCTGAAGCCTGCAAAATATGTTGACACTAGCACTAGGGTCTAAATAATCTTGATCAAGATGATGCAAAAAAAAATCTAATTTAATATACATGTGCTCATCTGTTAAAGGGGTCCTATTATGCTCTTTTACAAAGTCTTGATTTTGTTTTGGGGGTGTACTAGAACAGGCTCTCATACTAGGTTGTTCGAAAAACACATTATTTTTCACATATGTTACATGATTACAACACCTCTCTCCCCAGTCTAGCATGAACGGCTCGAATAGTTCCTTTATCAAATGAAGGCCCACCTTGCTGTGATTGGTTTGCTGGTTAGATTGGTTAGCTGGGCCAGTGTGTGCTGTGATTGGCAGCACTCTGCGCCTGGTCGGGAAATGTCATGACCCTTACCATAGCTGTCTGCGAGCTTCAGTATAAATATTGCGTCAAAATCAAATCAATTTGAGCGAGATTTAAACCCGGATGATTGTAACCACTCTAAGTTCATCTGCCTTGGGAAAGCTAGCGTGTCTCCTACATAGTGATAACACTCGTTGCCTTCTCTAGTGCAGCCCAACCAGGTCTCGTCCCATTCATCGATATTTGTGATATCACAAATCCCGGAAAATATGCATTGTAGTCCAAACGAGTCGTTCGTTGTAGTTTTTGAAAAGTGATTTCTGTTAAATAAAATATCTCCTTTTGAAGTGGACTTTGAGCTTTGTAACTTTGCAGATCTTTTTTTATGCTCAAACCGCAACATTACAGACTAACTAAAGTTGAAAAAGTGAAAAGCATAATAGGACCCCTTTAAGTTCCAAGAAATTTTGTTTTTATTCATTCTGTTTTCATGTTTCTTTTTTTTTATTATTATTATACTGAGACAATAATATTGTTATCTTCAAACCAAATGATCTAAAGTTTTGTGAGGCTCACTGACCTTGACACATCATTATGGTCTACAATATCTGTTATATTATTATGTTTATTATTGTTCTTGTTGCTGTTATTTTCAAATATTTATTTTATGCGAAGCTGCTCTATTCAATTATACTACAGAAATAAAAATAATAATGAAAGATTATTCTGAATTAGTAGGTCTGAATACCACGACCAATAAAGATGAACTACAGAAATTATAGTGAACAGATGTAGTTGATTTTAATGTATTAACAGTCCTAGTATTGCTTTTGTGTGTGTGTGTGGTTGTGTGCGTGCCTTCAGGTGTTAATGGATATGTTCGATCAGGAAGAGGAGATGGGGCTGGTGTCTCAGAGTGTAGAGGAGGTGTCTTCCTCTGGTGTGCTCACATATGATGACCTTGTGCGTCTGGAGATCGCTGAGGAGCGTCAGTATCTGCGGGAACTCGATCTCATCATCAAAGTATTCCGGCAAGCCTTTACGTCCAATAGCAAACTCTTCTCCACTCAGGTGCATTCTTCTGACCAATCAGAACATGAGCTAATGGAAATAAGCATTCATACTGGCAGGGATTCGCTGTTTGCTTTCTCTTTATTATCATTTATTCTCAGTTTTCTCTCTGCCTGCAATGTGTGTAGGATGTGGATCTGGCATTCAGTAATATTCTAGAGGTTCACGAGTTAACGGTTAAGCTGTTGGGTCTTATTGAGGATGCCGTAGAAATGACAGCTGATGGGAGTCCACACCCACTTGTGGGCAGCTGCTTCGAAGACCTTGCTGAGGTACAGAAACGCAAACACTCATGAGAGTCCAAAAACTAGAAATACCGTTGTGTATGATGTACATTACTGTGCTGTTAGAAATGTTTGTGTGCAAATCTGTTGTGTACAGGAGCAGGCGTTTGATCCGTATGAGACACTCTCTCAGGACATCCTCTCTAAAGAATACTGTCAACATTTCAACACTCTGATGTCCCGCCCCACTGTTGCTCTGTACTTCCAGGTCAGCACCAACATCTGCCTCTGATTGGTTCATCTTTTTTTCTTGAATTGTTTTTTGGAAAGTGAAGTGACATGTGGCCGAGCATGGTGACCCATACTCGCAATTTGTGCTCTGCATTAACCCATCCAAATGCACACACAGAGTAGTGAACACACACACACCATGAACACACACCCAGAGCAGTGGTGCCCGGGGAGCAGTTGGGGGTTCGGTGCCTTGCTCAATAGTCTCACCTCAGTAGTGGTGGGTGGAAGAGAGTGCTGGTTATTCACTCCCCCCACTGACAATTCCTGCCAGACCAGATACTCGAACCCGCAACCTTTGGGTTACAAGTCCTACTCTCTAACCATTAGGCCTTGAGTCACGACTGCCTGTGTCATGTAACCAATAAATTGGTGAGATTAAAAATCTATAACATTTTGTTGAAATTCAAAATAAAAACAGTTTTAAATGCTTCACATTAAAGTGAATTTAGGTTTCACAGCATTATAATGCACAGTATGAAAAATGGATATCAATTTTGAGATTTGATAAAGATTACATTTAACAGTGTTATTAAATTACTAACATTGTTACAGCAATGATAATCTAAATGGGGGAAAAATATGTGGAAAGAAGCGTGCATAATTAAATATCCAATTTCAACAAATACTAATAAATTTAAGTAAATAATAATATTGGTCGAAAGCTGGCAGTGTTATTTTAGTATTATTTATATGCTTTTTTAGTATTTATTAATATTTGAATTAGCTTTACTTATGTTTTCAGTTTTAATTTTAGGTTTAGTTTAAGTTTTAGTAATATTGTTTTGTGCTTTTTGAATATTTTTTGTGTAGCTTTGATTTAAATTAGTTTGAGTAATTTTAGTCCTAAAACTTATTTTATTCCAGTTAGTTGCTAAGACAGCATTTCTGATTTTCAGTTATCTTTTTTTAAGTTTAAGTTTTTCATCTGATATTTTATTTTTTTTAGTTATATCAATATCAACACTGATAATTGATATATACCTAATAAATTTAAACCGGTTTAAAAATAGAAAATATCTCCAGACACTGAGGATTGTTTTGATTTACTATTTAAGTTTCAAACTCCTTTATTGATCAGTTCAATTGTTTTTGTAGAGATATTGTTTTTATTATGTAGGTTAGTGTTGCATGGATCAGTTTCAGTCATGTTTGCTTCACTTTTATCCAGTACAGTGCCTCTTAGAAATTACTCTGTAACTGAACTTAAGACAACTTGTTCTTTCTTTAGTTGAACTAGGAAATTATATGTACTACATTTTGAAGGCAGATAATACAATGTAAATAGAAACTTTTGGGTACAGGGAGAGGGAGGGCGGTGGAATCAAAGCCTTCATCTCTGCAGGCATGTGCTCAGATGTTCTGTCTCCTGTGGTGTGTTTCTGTGTGTTTCAGTCAATTGCAGAGGGTTTTAAGGAGGCAGTGCAGTATGTGCTTCCTCAGTTGATGATGGTTCCCGTTTACCACTGCATGCACTACTTTGAACTGTTACAGGTAAACACACTTCACTCAATCAGTAACCTACAGCTGGGTAATGTGTTACTTAAGGTTTGTGTATCATTGTCTCTGTAGCAATTGCAAGAGTGCAGTGAAGACCAAGATGACAGAGAGTGTTTAAAACAGGCTCAGACTGCACTGATCAACCTACAGTGCAGCATTGAACGCATATATGCTAAACACCAACCACGGCGCAAACAAGGGTAATGCAAACACCAGGGTTTGTACACCTATATGTCTGTACTAAATCCCATTTTCATTTTTCATTCTTGTGATTTTCTCTTTTAGGGAGCCGCTGTATCGGTTATATAGTCGTGCATCTCGTAGCAAGCAGGCAGCAATAAAGCGTATGAATGACATCCAGAAGTGTATTGATGGCTGGGAAGGCAGAGATATCGGCCAGTGCTGCAGCCAGTTCATCATGGAGGGGGCGCTCCTACGGACCGGAGCCAAACACGAACGGCACAACTTCCTGTTCGATGGCCTCATGATAAGCTGCAAAGCCAACCAGAGCTCCAGGTTGCCGGGAGCAGGCAGTGGGGCAGAGTTTCGTCTGAAAGAGAAGTTTGTTTTACGCAAGTATCGCATTGTAGATCGTGAGGATTCACCAGATTTTTGTCACGCATTTGAGCTGGTGGGCCGCGAGGAAAGCGGTGCCGTGTTCAGCGTGCGTTCAGTGGAAGAGAAGAGTGCATGGATGGCTGCGCTGGTCACGCTGCAGTACCGGCCTACTCTGGACCGCATGTTGGACACCGTTCTGCACCGCGAGGAACAAGCACAACCGTTGAGGCTGCCGTCACCGGACATCTACCGGTTTGCTATACAGGATTCTGAGGAGAACATAGTATTTGAGGAGGGAGCGCAGAGCAAGACTGGAATCCCCATTATTAAGGCCGGGGCAGTTGTCAAGCTTATTGAGAGACTGACGTACCACATGTATGCAGGTACAGAATAAAACACTCCTTTAGATCTAAAGGTCTTTAAGAAAGAAATTCAGTCAAATGTCACCAAGCCTTTGCCTACTAGTGTGTTTCTTTGATATTTGTGTCTGTCCCTGCATGCCATTATAAGTACTGTTCTTCTTTTCCACACAGACCCAAATTTTGTGCGTACGTTTCTGACTACATACCGTTCTTTCTGTAAACCACAAGACCTACTCACACTACTGATTGAAAGGTAAAGCACACATACACTTGTGTCACACACATGTTCAGCCAATGAGAAGAGAGGAATTCTGTTAAATTATTCATAGCTCTGCCATCACTCTAAAATGCCTGCATGTCCATCAGGGAGTTTGTTGCATTTACACAACTTAATCTGAAGTTTGCTGTTTCTTGTTGTGTTTCCCTTTCATGTTAAGATGTACAGTATATGCATGCAATTTAGTTTTACTTGTTTCCCCATGATGCTTCAGGATTGAGATTCCAGAGCCAGAGCCATCAGAAGCAGACCGAGAGGCACTCTGGAATGGAGAGCAACCAATGGCAGCTGAGCTTCAGAGATTTCGCAGAGAATATGTGCAGCCTGTCCAACTCAGGTAAAACACACATTCTCATTCGCCAAGCACACTCGTGCATGACGCACTCGTGATATTATCACAATTTAAAATAACTTTTTTCTATTTGAATATATCTTAAAAATGTGATTTATTCCTGTGATGGCAAAGCTGAATTTTCAGCAGCCATTACTGCAGTCTTCAGAAATCTTTCTAATATGCTGATTTGGTGCTCATAATTAGAAACATTTCTAATTATTATCAGTTGAAAACAGTTGTTCTGCTTAATATTTTTGTGGAAACCGTGATGCTTTTTTTTCAGGATTCTTTGATTCATTGAAGCTTCGAAAGAACAGCATTTAATTGAAATTATTGAAATTTCTATTTCTTTTTTCTTTTCTTTTTTTGTAAGACTCAACCATCCTGTTGTTGCTTTATCTTGTGCTCATTTCAGTCAGTGTCACCACACCACAGTCCTGCTGTCCATCAGTTCTAATAGTGTCTGTGAGCACGTCGGTCTGATGTCTGTATGTGTGTCTTTAGGGTTCTGAATGTATTCCGTCAGTGGGTAGAACATCACTTTTATGACTTTGAGAATGATCCTGAACTCAGCTGTGGACTTGAAGAATACCTCACCAGCACCACACAACTTAGAGGTACGTACACACACTCTAACATTTCTGAATGTGCATTCATGATGTATGAGCATGTAGATCTTACATATACACATACTCAATGAGACAAACACACATTTAGAGACTGGTGTCTAATATTCTGTTTTTCAGGTAAATCGATGCGCAAGTGGGTGGAGTCTATCATCAAGATCATGAGACGGAAGAAACAAACTCAATCTAATGGCATCAGTCACAACATCACCTTTGAGAGCCCACCTCCTCCTATTGAATGGCACATCAGCCGCCCCGGGAGCATTGACACCTTTGATCTCATGACCCTTCATCCAATAGAAATTGCTCGTCAGTTAACACTTCTAGAGTCTGATCTGTACAGGTAAGCCAATCAGAACTATAAGCATATGTTAGGATAACATACATTGACTGACTATTGTACATTTGTGTACATAGAGCCGTTCGTCCATCTGAGCTGGTAGGAAGCGTTTGGACAAAGGAAGATAAAGAGAAGAATTCTCCCAATTTGCTAAGGATGATTAGACACACAACCAACCTCACACTGTGGTTTGAAAAGTGAGTAACTAGCTCATAGCCAACTGCATCATCTCTACAAACAGTACAACACATTTTATATTGCAGAAAAACATAATCTCCAATCTTGATGTTATAAATTATGTAAGTAAATTCTTTGTTTCTCTCTCTGTCACTCAGGTGTGTAGTAGAGGCTGAAAATGTGGACGAGAGGGTTGCTGTATTCTCTCGTATTATTGAGATCCTGCAGGTGTTTCAAGAGCTCAATAACTTTAATGGAGTTTTGGAGATTGTAAGCGCCATTAACTCAGTACCGGTGTATCGTCTCGACCACACGTTTGAGGTGACCTGTTCATTCATTATGCACTCACAGTGTGAATCAGAATAGTAATTGTCCGATAATAATGGAATATGTGGTTTTGTTGTGTATATGTAGGCCGTGCCTGAGAGGAAAAGGAGGATTCTAGAGGAAGCTGTTGAACTCAGTCAAGATCATTTTAAGAAATACCTCGCCAAGCTCAAATCCATCAACCCGCCTTGCGTACCTTTCTTTGGTAAGAGAAAGAGCTGCTTTGTAACAAACTAGCATATATTTACAAAGTTTGAGGTGGTAAGGATTATTTAATGTTTTAGAATAAGTCTTGCTCACTAAGGCTGCATTTATTTTGCATTGCATTTATTTTGTCAAAAAATATTAATGTTGTGAAATAGTATTACAATTTAAAATAACTTGTCTGTTGTTATATATTTTGAAATGTAATTTATTCCGGTAACACTTTACAATAAGGATCATTAGTTAACTACTTTAGTTAAGAAGAACTAAGAATGAACAATACTTCTCAATGTTTCCCATTCATTATCTAGACTGTGGTGGCCTGCCACAGTTTCATAATAAAGCGAATATATATTTATACTTATAACATAAAAGTTCTTTAACGTTGTGTTTCACATAGGAATGCAGTATCGGTATCGGGCCCCGATACTGAGCTTCTGTACTCATACTCGTTAAAATGCTCCGATACCAAACGCCGATACCACACAGCATGTGATAAGTGCCATATTCAGACAAAGAAACACTGACAACAGAACAACAGACAGCAGAATTGAGTTATTAGAGATTAAGGATGTATACGAAGTATATGTATGCAATGAATATAATGTTAAACATTCAGTATTAACGCCTGTATAGCTGATGTGTGCGAGCTGATAAGCAAATTGAGCACGTGTGAGTGGATTGAGCGCGCGGCAGCACAGATGCGCGAGCTTGTCGAGTGAATAGCCTATACCTTTCTCACTTGACATAAACATGTAAGTAAAACAATGCACAAGTTACTTAACGGTAGAGAGAGAGAGAGAGCGCAATTCTGGCGAGCTTGTCGAGTGAATATATCTTTCTCACAGACATCACTGGAAAGTTTGTAGTTTGGTCGGATATGTCATAAACAAGTAAGTAAAACATTGCACAAGTTACTTAACGGTAGGGAGATAACGGTAGAGAGAGAGAGAGAGCGCAATTCTGTTGTGTGATCTTTGATGTCCACTCACTTAACACACGCGTCATTTGGATTAAAACTAAATCGTAAACATAAGACCGTTTATAGGGGCATTCATTATAAACATCATTCATTTACAATCTTAGGCATACACGACTTTCAGGCGAAAGTGAATCTAGCTTGTGTGAAATGCGCTAGGCTGTACTTTTCCCTCTCATTCTGCACCAGTACAAATATGTGCACGCGTTGCGGAGTGGTTCCCTGCATTATTACAGCAAAGCGCGTGATTACAGTACTAAGCCGCTGCAATGGAGCAGCTCTAATGCTATTAAATTAAAGATGATGTACCATAGAGCAAAAAAATGAACAGTGAAAGTAACAAAAATTTGTAAAATACATTTTAATGGGCATAATTAAGTGTGAAAATAACCAAAGGATATACAGTCAAACCAAAGATTATTCAGAGACCAGATATAATTTTTATTTTTATTTGTATTTTTTTAAGAGGGTGCAGGACACTATAGTTCATTTATGTAAGTGAGGATAGCAAAATAAAGTAAACTGTGATAAATTATACCCAAAAATTCTTCATACGGTGGACTACCAGTAAAACTGATAAAAAATTTGGGACCAAAAATTATTCAGACTGAGTCTGGGAAAAAACATTGAAGTTGAGGTTTGCATGAAGCTGGGTGACAGCATGCCCAGGAGACTACAGGCTGTCATTAAGGCTAAGGGTTGCCCTACGAACTATTGATGGTTGTGTAAATACTGTCATACTAACAGCTGTCTGAATAATTTTTGGTTGATTGTAATCCATTACATACCTTTCTAGCAAAGTTATGTAACATTATCAAGCTGAATTTGTTCTGACACAGTTTAACTCTTGAGTTCTTGTCATATTTTATTACCATTTTCTAAACTATAGCAAATAAACTGTGATAATGTGAGAAATGTTGAAGGTGTCTGAATAAATTT